GACACCTGAGGGAAGCCTCCGGACTCTGGGGAAGCGGAAAAATGGCCATACTGGAAGTTCTGGTAGGCCACGCCCACCATGGCCACACCCACCCAGCAACTGGGCAGTGAACCGGTTGCTGGGATTTTTGAATCCAACCCCTGCTTACGACCACAGTTGAGCACCAGATTTACGTTGCTCAATGAGACATTAAGTGATACTTGTGCCAGTTTACAACTCTTCTTGCCACCTATCTTGTTAAGCGAATCATCGCAATTGTTTAAGTTAGTGACACGGACGTTAAGTGAATCTGTCTTCCTCCTTTGACTTTGCTTGTCAGAAGGTCGCAAAAGCAGGTCACGTGACCCCAGGGCCCCGCAACCGTCATAAATATGAAACCAGTTCCCAAGCGTCCATATTTTAATCGCGTAACCATGGGAGATACTGCAACGGTCATAAGTGTGAAAAAAAATCATGTCTCCTTTTTTCAGTGGGAGTGTAACTTTGAATGGTCACTAAACAGACGGTGGTAAGTCTAGGACTAGCTGTATACCTAAAGTCTATTTAGTTGCAAGCTGTAGACACATTTCATAAAACAGAAGCAAGTCTTTCTCTCTATATAAGCGAAATACCACTCACACATCATCACAAAATCTCCTGAACCGTAAAACCTACAAACTTGAAATTTGGCATGTATGTTCCTTGGCTTCTAGGTGCTCACTAAGAAAGGATTTTTTGAAATGACCATCGGAGCGTTAGTATTTCGTATAATATTATTAACACGCTCTGATGCTAAGGAGTTCTACTCTTCCTCCCCACCTGAAAAGAAATCTGTTCCAAATGCAAAAACACAATCAGAGGAGTTTCAGTTTCAGTTTTACAGCACCAAGCAGCTTTAGTACAGAACAGTTGAGCTAAGCCACGCCCAGGCTCCTTGCTGTCTCCTTCTTGCTCACACAGCAAATGCTGTTTCAGTTTCCAAACAGCCCTCAACTCTCTCACTGACAGGACACTAGCCAGATGAATACTGATGGATGCTGGTAGGCAGAGGCAGATTTCCTCCCCCCCCCTGTTATTTTCCTCCCCAAAAAGTAAGCACGACCACATAGTTTCTTGCAAAGTATGGATATCGAGCTAGTAAATGGATAAATACAGAGATACTCAGTCATCCAGGTCATGGTTGTCCCAGAGATGCTTTTTTCAGGGGGCAGCTGGACTTTATTGTTTTTTTTCTTTGAAGATGTTTCGCTTCTTATCCAAGAAGCTTCTTCCACTCTGACTATAGGTGGTGGGGAAGGGAAGGATTTATATTCCAGTCAGAACTGAAGAAGCTTCTTGGATGAAAAGCGAAACATCTTCAAAGGAAAAACAAGAAAGTCCAGTTGCCTCCTGGAAAAAAAGCCAAAATACAAACGCCAACAGTAAAGTATTAATTGGCTTACAAATGATTAACTTTCCACTTTCACATCACATGAAACCCTTAATACCTCAGAGCCTAGACATTTATCTTACCAGAAGGCATAAAATTCCATATTTGGGGTATACAGTCCCATATCTATGAGAAAATGCACGAGCATGGGATGGTTAGGGTAGAGCAAAAATAATAATAATATTCAAGTTTTAACGATCCCATTGGGATCAATTCTAACACCTCAAAGCGTAGGAGGGTTAATTGAATAGATAATAGCTTTGTGATCGCTGCTGGTTTTTCTCAAATTTTATTTTAATTGTTTTGACTAAAACTGTTTGCCTCAAAAGTGTGTAGCAAAGCTTCATGTTTCCGTCCTGATTTTTTTAAATGTCTTTTTGGAATGATTTTCTTTTTCTTTTTCTTTTCTTTTTTCTTTGCATTTTGGTATAGACCAGTTCCCCCAATGAGGTTGCTGTGTGAGGTTTATTCCGAGTACTAATTTTAAAAGCTTTCCCGTTTAATCCCGTAAGGAAACTTGGCATGTTTGATCTTCTGTTGATGCTTTCTGGTTTTCTGAGTCTTGATGAGTCTTTGAAAAGTACCCCTATATATACACCGCATGTGTTGAGATGTAATGATAGAAAGTAATAATTTTGAAGGCTTTACATGTTGGTAGGCCCAGTCTACAACAAAGCTAATCCTAATGCAAGATTTGCTGCCATCTCCGAGCACTTCACAAAAAAGTTCCGGGTTTATTGTCACAAGAATATATGCCCTTGCCCTGTCACTAGACTAGACACACCCATGAAGCAATTGGGTATGTCTAGTCTAGTGAAAAAGGAAGACTGGGGTGACATGATAGTAGTGTTGCATTGAGAAGAGGGAGTCAACCTATTGTCCAAAGAACCAGAAGGCAAGATATGAAACAAGGGATGGAAACTAAGCAAGGAGAGAAGCAACGTAGCAATAAGGAGAAATTTCCTAACAGTGAGAACAATAAAATAAGATAAGATAAAATGAGATAAGATGATAAGATAACTTTTATTGACATTTTTTTGTGAGCACACTGGCCCACGTTAAAAATTGAATTCTGTTGCCTGATCTCAAGAGAAGTATATCTATCCAAAACACATACATAACACTTATACACATGCCATATACATACAAATATATATCTGCACACACACACACACACACACACACACACACACACACACACACACACACTGGCAGCTGTGCCTCCATTCAAAATACAAGAAAGAAAACCTTAGGCTCCATTTTTACAGAGAAAAGTACTTTTACTGCATAAGAAGTGGTAGCCACAAAGGAAATACAAGATCTGAGGCAAAAGGCGCGGAAATTACATATTGAAAGTTATCCCAAGTCCCCTCCCCCAACAATTCAAACTGAATATCCAATCTGAGGTGTGTATAATGTCATGTGGGTACATCTTCAGGTGGCGTCTCACACATCTGGTGTGCCAAGACGGTTGACCTTGACCTAGAAAAGATAAGTGGCTGCATTTGCACACTAAGCAGGAAAGCATCCCAACTTTTACAGTTCACATAAACTTCAACATCCAGCATCCTTCCCCCCCAAAAGCCCCAATTATCCCTCCCCCCATTTCCAAGGCAGCTGGCAAGAGCCAATCAGGAAAAGATGTCAGGACTTCCTGTTTTGAGCTTCCCCAAAGACGGACCACTGACCGCGATTGTGCGCGGCTTTGGTTAGTGCTTCGGTGTCGGAGAGCCCCAATCCTTTGGATTCGGGGCAGAAGCTACCTCGTAGGGGTGGCAGAGGAAGGGGAGACCGTCAGCTGGGTAGAGGGGAATCGCAAGTCCCCTCCCCGGCTTGGCAATTGCTCCCTCCCGAAGACGCCTGAAGCGGTGGTCTAAAATGGCCACCCTGAAGGGGAAGATTAGACTGGAATAAGAGTGTGCAGGAGAGAGAGAAAGAAGCGAACAACAGGAGGAACTGGATGATATAATCAAATGGAAAATACCTCCAGGATTAACATTTCAAAGAATCTTTAAGAAAGGATCTAAGCAGCGAAGGAAAAGATGTCAGGAAGAAGATCTGGGAGGCTGACACACACATATGTATTTAATCACTGTCCATTTTAATACATAGTGGAGAGAGGAAACTTGAGCGATCAGAAGGTTGATACTCTATGGAACAAAACTCTGAACTGAATTTAGATGACTGAATTAACCGGCTTGCTACCCCGAAGTTGTGGGTGCTCCATCACTGGAGGCTTTCAAGAAGAGACTGGACAGCCACTTGTCTGGAATGGAATAGGCAGGGGTGGGATTCTACCGGTTCAGACAGGTTAGGGCAAACCAGGTGTTAAATTTACATCTGGTTCGCCGAACCGGTAGTTGAATCGACCGGCTGACCCCATCCACCGCTCCCCTCCCCTCTCAGGAGTCTCCATGCGGCCCGTTTTGGAGGCAGAGTCCGCATGACGACTCTGGGAGGGCGAAAAACAGACCAAGCCAGAAGTCCCGCAAGTCCAGAAATGGGCCTGTTTCCGGCTCCCAGAGGGCCTCTAGAACCCGGGGAGGCCGTTTTCACCCTCCCAAAGGCCCGAAGGAAGCCTCCGGATTCTGGGGAAGGCGAAAAACGGCCCTCCTGGACGTTCCAGTAGGTCACACCCACCATGGTCATGCCCACCCAACAACCAGGCAGAGAACCAGTTGCTGGGATGTTTGAATCCCACCCCTGAGAATAGGGTCTCCTGCTTGAGCAGTGGGTTGGAGTAGATGAGCTCCAAGGTTTCCTTCCCTATCAGAGCAATTCTGATTTATCTTTCCTGTTTTCCTTTTCTTCCAAACATGGTCATGGGACACCAGCAGAATATGCTGACAATCTTTATCAGCTAAGCTAAGTTTTACAACTGCATTGAGTGATCTTAGACTTACTGGGGGAAAAACACACACACACATATACCCATAGACACATGTAGTCTTCATTGCTAAATGGTTTCCTAGTGGTATTCACACAACCCATAGTTTACTTGTGCTAAATGTAGAGTCGGCTTGGTTTTACTCCATTTTCTGAGTTTGCAGGTACCGAACTGTAAAGAAAGCTGTAGGCTGGATTCCTACGAGATACATGTTGTTGTTGTATTTATTATTTATTAACAATATTGATAAATATTAATATTTATGTATTAATTTATATGGCCACCAAACTGACTCATGAGGGTCCTGGGCAGTTTACAAACCCAGATAAAGCCCAGATACAAAACCTAATAAATTTCTCTCTCTCTAATGATAACAATCAAATCAACTACTTGATGGGCTCCATATTACCTTGGATTATTCATGCCTAGTGGCAAAAAACATGTCTTCAGGGCTTTTGGAAGAAATATTAAGGTGAGGGCCAGCTTTATCTCCATAGCCTCGGTGGCACAGTGGTTAGAGCGCAGTACTGCAGGCTACCTCTGCTGATTGTCGGCTGCCTGCAATTTGGCAGTTCAAATCCCACCAGGCTCCAGGTTGACTCAGCCTTCCATCCTTCTGAGGTGGGTAAAATGAGGACCCAGATTGTTGGGGGCAAGAGGCTGACTCTGTAAACCTCTTCGAGAAGTGGTGAAGTGGTATATAAGTCTAAGTGCTATTGCTATGTTCCACAAGCTGGGAACCACCCCAGAGTAGGCCCTTCTTCTTGGTTACACTAAATAGACCTCCTTAAGAAAGAGGCTCCTTAACTTACCTGTTTCCTTGCTCTGGTGGATTGGGTAGATGGAACCCATGACCACAGCCACAGAACCTGGAGATGAACAAGGAAGTATTGTCCTTAGTTCAGTGTCTTAGCACTCTATGGCTCTTTAGTTTACCTCTGTGCCGAAATGCAATGGTGAAAATATTGGACTGAGAGACCTATGTTTTAATCCAGATCTCTCCAAAGTCAGCAACTTTAAGACTTGTGGACTTCAGTTCCCAGAATTCCCCAGCCAGTATGGCTGGTTGAGGAATTCTGGGAGTTGAAGTTCAAAAGTTACCAAGTCTGGAGACTTCTGTTCTAAGCCAACCTTGCCTTGACTTTGGGCTGGTTGTTGTCAACTCCAACAACAACAACTTCTCCTTCTCCTCCTCCTCCGCCTTCTCCTCCTCCTCCTTCTTCCTCTTCCTCTCCTCCTTTTCCTTCCTTCTCTTCCTCAACTTCTTCTTCCTCTTCTTCTTTTCTTCCTTTTTTCCTCCTCCTCCTCCTCCTTTCTCCTCCTCCTCAACTTTCCTCTTTTTTCTCCTCTCCTCCTCCTTCTTTTCTTCCTTTCTTCCTCCTCCTCCTCCTCCTCCTCCCCCTATGAATGATGGATGACAAATGATAAAGATAAGTAGATAATGGATAAAAGATAGCTTGATAGATAAATAGGTAGTTAGACAGACTGACAGACAGACAGACAGACAGACAGAGATATGTAGGTAGGTAGATACATAAGTAGATAGATATGCAGGTAGGTAAATAGATACATAGATATGTAGGTAGGTAAATAGATATGTAGGTAGGTAGGTAGATCCATAGGTAGATCCATAGGTAGCTAGATACTTAGGTAAATAGATAGGTAGGTAAATAGGTAGCTAGATACATAGGTAGGTAAACAGATAGGTAGGTAAATAGATAGATAGCAAGAGAGAGAGAGAGTGAGAGACAATCAGTGAGAATACACACATATACATATTAATGTGTATAATATCTTCAACATGGCAACTTCTTTCTGTCCAGCAAAATAACAATCTTCTATTTTTTTCCTTCCAGCTCACCAAATCTCACAGGCAAGGGCACATGGTCAAAGTCGATTGGCTGGATAGGTTGACCTTTCGAGAAATTGAAATGATCAATGAGGTACGTCATGGGCCTTGATGAGTTTTGGAGCCATGGCTAATTGGGAAACAGTGGTGCACAACCGGTGCCTGATCTTTCAGGAAATATTCTCAGTTCTTCAGTTTTCTTCTCATCTCAGGTTGTTAGCACTCTCTTTGAGAGCTGTTGAGGACACTTGGGTTTAATGTATGCCCTCAGGGTCACTTGAATAAGAGTGCAAATGGGTGTGGAATCTTCTTGGAGCTGCGGAAAGGACTGAGTTGTAGACAGGATGTTCAATCCATAGTAGAATAGAATGGAAAGGAATGGAATGGAATAGACTAAGACAAAGACTAAGACATTAGAACAGAATAGAAATAGAATAGAAATAGAAATAGAATAGAAATAGAATAGAATAGAATAGAATAGAATAGAATAGAATAGAATAGAATAGAATAGAATAGAAAATACGGAATGGAATGGAATAGAATTCTTTATTGGCCAAGTGTGATTGGACCCACAAGGAATTTATCTTTGGTGCATAAGCTCTCAGTGTACATAAAGAAAAAAATGAAATACATTCATCAAGAATCATAAGATACAACATTTAGTGATAATCATAGGATACTAATAAGCAATCAAATCATACTAGGAAACAATAAAAACAATATAAGTTGTAAAGATATAAGCAACATGGATATATCCCTAAATAGGAAGCGATAGATACTAGTAAGGATGAGAAGAAGAATAGTACCATGTTTCTCCAACAATACAGCCTCCCCCAATAGGAAGGCCCAGCATGTTTTATTGGCATAAAATCAAATTAAGCCCCTCCCCCAAAATTAAGGCCTATATTAAACATGTGAAATGGGGGGGAATGGCGGGGGGGGGGGCTTTCCATTAGGAAATACTTCTGTTGCATACCTGGATATGGTGCTGCCTGCATTGACTTTGGCGTTGGTGGGGCACTTCGTATCAGGAGACCTTCCTCCACCGTTGCTTTCCCTTCTCCCCATGCTGCCGCAGCGTTTAGAGCAACGCCACGGTGTTTGGCGCAGCCACGCGCAGCCAGCCAGGACTCCTCCCTGCAACGGGAGCCTGGCGGAGACACTCGGCTTCAGGTGCTCCTGTCACCGCCTTCCCTTCGCCTTCAAAGGCAAAGCCAATTCTTTTAAAAACGACACCCTACCACCGGTACAACAAAGCCTCCCCTGCCCAAGAGGGCCGCCCAACCCCACGTGGGGAGGTGAATCTCCCGGGGGTGCAGCGCAGGATCGGCCCACCCTGGGAGAAGCACCCAGCCGCTATACCTGCCTGGTGCCTGGCAGAGTGCAAAGAGCTTCACCTGGGGCGCCCAGCACAGCTGACAGGCGGGCCCTCCTGCCCGGTGGCGGAGCTTCGCCAAGGCAGCGAGCGCCTTCCCATTGGATCCTCTGCTTATCCCGTCAGGGCTGCGCCAGACCTGTGCGGACTGGGCAGAGCCAGGAAAGCAAGCCGCGGGTGCGCGCCCGCCTGCCAAGCGAAAGAGCCGGGCCAACCCAAGCTTGGCTTCCTTCCCAAGTCCCTCCAGCGCGAACCAGAAGGGGCCACCGGGAGAGGCCGCCCGAGGCAGTGATAGCGCCCACCCATCCGTGGACAGGGAGGCAAGGAGACGGCCTGCACCGCATCTTCCTCCGAGCTGAGCCCCGCCGAGTCAGCGTCTCTGCCTGATGCCCGTTCCGCTGCAGCGTTTGAAGCTGCCGGCGCAATTGGAGATGCATGGGGATGGGGACGGACTGGGTGAGGGGTGGAAAGGATGGGCAGCTTCGGGCTCTCTCCGCCAGCCAAGGAAGCAGTGCTGCCATCACCTCGCCTCCCTGTCTGCGGACGGGTGGGCACTATCACTGCCTCAGGCAACCTCTCCCGGTGGCCCCTTCAGATTCACACTGGAGGGACTTGGGAAGGAAGCCAAACTCAGGTCGGCCCGGCTCTTTTGCATGGCAGGCGGGCGCGCACCTGCAGCTCGCTTTCCTGGCTTTGCCCAGCCCGCACGACTCTGGCGCGGCCCTGGCGGGATGAGTGGAGGGTCCGGTGGGGAGGCGCTCACTGCCTTGGTGAGAGCTCTGCTGCCGGGAAGAAGGGCCCGCCTGTCAGCTGCGCTGGGCGCCCCAGGCAAAGCTCTTCACGCTCTGCCTGGCGCCAGGCAGGGATGGCAGCTGGGTGCTTCTCCCAGGGTGGGCCGATCCTGCGCTGCGGCCCTGGGAGATTCGCCTCCCCACGTGGGGTTGGGCTGCCCTCTCGGGCAGGGGAGTCTTTGTTGTAGTAGGACGTCGTTTTTAAAATAATCGGCTTTACCTTTGAAGGCAAAGGGAAGGCGGCGACAGGAGCGCCTGAAGCCGTGTGTCTCCGCCGGGCTCCGGTTGCAGGGAGGAGCCCTGGCTGGCCGCACATGGCTGCGCCAAACGCCACGTCATTGCTCTAAATGCCGCGGCAGCACGGAAAGAAGGGAAAGCAACGGTGGTGGAAGGTCTCCCGATACGAAGTGCCCCACCAACGCCGAGGTCAACATCCAAGCCGTCGCTGCCCGCCCACCCGAGGGGGGGGGAATTAAGTCACCTTTGAAAAGATGGCCTAGCCGTTTTTCGGGGGTCAAAAAAGAATAAGGCCCAGGCTTATTTTGTGAGAAACACAGTAACACAGTCTTAGTAGTTAATTTGACAGTGTTGTGGGAATTAGTTGTTTAAGCAGAGTGATACTAATTGTGGGGAAAACTGTCCTTGTGTCTTGTTCTGGTGTACAGAGCCCTATAGCGTTGTTTGAGGGTAGAAGTTGAAACAATTTGAATTTTTTTTTTTTCAAAGTGTTCAAAATACCTGCAGATGGAACCATCTGATCCAGGCTGTACTCAAGCCCCTGTTTTAACATCTTTCACCTATTTTGAAAAGAGGATGGCCTTCAATCATGCAGTTTTAGCCGCCATCTTGATTACTTCTCTCCGTTTATTTCTATTAAATTATTTTATTTACTATTTTATTTATTATTTTATATATCTGTATATATGCAAAAAAGAGAGCAATTAAAATGATTAAAGGTCTGGAGACTGAAACATATGAAGAATGGTTGCAGGATTTGGGTTTGGCTAATCTAAATAAAAGAACAACTAGTGAGGACACGATAGCAGGATTCCTGTATTTGATGCCTTAGGGAGGCTGTGAGTTCTAATCCTGCCATAGGCATGAAAGCTGGATGGGTGACTTTGGACCAATCACCAAGAGACTGTGAATTCTAGTGCCACCTTAGGCATGAAAGCCAGCTGGGTGACTTTGGGCCAATCACTGGGAGATTGTGAGTTCTAGTCCTGCCTTAGTCATGAAAGTTGGATGGGTGACTT